TCATTGCGGGCGTTGGACCCACATCAAACCTTCAAAATTCTAAGGACCTATCGTATTGGCTCGTAGGTGCCCGTCGGGATGATTTGCTCGATAAACCACTAAGTTCTTTAAAAGAAAGCATTTTTCTTGAAAATTTTCTTTACGAATACTTCCATTAAAAAGAGGTTAACACCATAGTATTTTTCTGAAATCACGTCTCGGGTTCTTTGATAACTTTTTGTTAAAACCAACACTGTGTTAGTTTTATTTTGTTAAAACTATGTAGTTTTTGAAATCTGCATTTTACTGCATCTTAGGTTTGGATTTCAAAAATTTGTTCTTCGTGACAATTTTTCGTCTCGTCGAGATCTAAAATTGTCATTTTTAGATAAAGTTGAAATTCAGCCTCTAAAAGGCCTCGTTTGGCTTAAAACAGTGGCTACTGTTTTTTTTTCTTTTGCTGTAGCAATCTTTTAATAAGGCTGTAGCAATATTTTTAAAAATGTTATAGGATTGCTGTAGCAATCTTTTAATATTGCTGTAACAATCTTTTTAAAAATACTATAGAATTGCTGTAGCAATCTTTTAATATTTTTGTAGCAATCTTTTAAAAAGGCTTTAGGATTGCTGTAGCAATCTCTTTTAAAATGCTGTAGCAATCTTTTTTTAGAAATGCTGTAGGATTGTTGCATCAAATCTTCTTTTAAAATGCTGTAGGATTGTTGTAGCAATGCTATAGCAATCCCTTTTTTTTTTCTTTTTCTGAAACTGTGTTGGACAGCCCGTCCGTTTTTGTAAACTGGCTTCAAACTTGCTTTTAGAGTTAAAATTGGGTTTTGTCATAGCCACAGAAAACATTCAAAACATCGAGATCTATAAGTTTAGGCTTTGAAACATCAAAAAAGCTCACTCTAGGGTTCTTATTTTCGCGTTCAAAGTAACCAAAAATTTTTCCTCTAACCGGAAATAAGCAAACTTAAGTCAAGCATAATCATACCACATTAAACTAACCTTATAACTCACAAAACTAACATAAAACTCGCGCACCCTTATTACAATCTTATCTCCTCAAGAACCACAAATTTACATCCATAAATCCAAGCTTAAAGTTGGCTAGAAATTAATGGAGGAGAGTTTAAGAACTTACCCTTGAAGAATTCCCTCTTTCTCTTGAAAAACCTTTGAACTCCTCTAAGATTGTTAATGGCTTGAAACTATAAGAGTATAAGGAAATTTGAGAAGCTCAAACTTTACTAGAACATAAAAAGAGAGGGTTTAGAGTTTCCTTACCCTTGGAGGAATGCTTGACTAGTCTTCTCCTAGACGCTTTGATCTCTTTCTTCTTCTTCTATGGTTTGCTAGTGGCTCAAGATTGGGAGAGTGGAAGAAAATATTTGAGAGGAAATGCCGAAATGGTGTAGGGTGGCCGGATTTTTGAGTGGCGAAAAAGCTAGGAGAAAAAAAATGGAGCTTATCCTATGTTGGTTCCTTTTATAGGCAACTTGGAAATTATTTTTTTAACACCAATTCCACTCCATCATTCAACCAAATTTTTGGTCCAAATCCCCCTTTCTTGGCCGGTTTTGGAAGGAGAAAAGAAGAAGCAAGTTTGCCATTAATTCTCCTTCAACCACTACCATCACATCACACCTTAACTTGTAACCTTCTAGCACACTCAACTAGCCAAATTTTGGCTCTATTTTCCTATGCATGGCCGGCTAAGTGGAGAAGGAGAGAGAGAAAAATATAACCCACCCCTTGTACTTTTGTCCATTCTCTTAAGTTTCCTTTGAGTCAAATAAAAATCATACTGACTGTAAGGAAGTACTTAGCTGACATAAAATTCTAGTTTGGATTTCAAAAATTTGTTCTTCGTGACAATTTTTCGTCTCGTCGAGATCTAAAATTGTCATTTTTGGATAAAGTTGAAATTCAGCCTCTAAAAGGCCTCGTTTGGCTGAAAACAGTGGCTACTTTTTTTTTTCTTTTGCTGTAGCAATCTTTTAATAAGGCTGTAGCAATATTTTTAAAAATGTTATAGGATTGCTGTAGCAATTTTTTAATATTGCTGTAACAATCTTTTTAAAAATACTATAGAATTGCTGTAGCAATCTTTTAATATTTTTGTAGCAATCTTTTAAAAAGGCTTTAGGATTGCTGTAGCAATCTCTTTTAAAATGCTGTAGCAATCTTTTTTTAGAAATGCTGTAGGATTGTTGCATCAAATCTTCTTTTAAAATGCTGTAGGATTGTTGTAGCAATGCTATAGCAATCCCTTTTTTTTTTTCTTTTTCTGAAACTGTGTTGGACAGCCCGTCCGTTTTTGTAAACTGGCTTCAAACTTGCTTTTAGAGTTAAAATTGGGTTTTGTCATAGCCACAGAAAACATTCAAAACATCGAGATCTATAAGTTTAGGCTTTGAAACATCAAAAAAGCTCACTCTAGGGTTCTTATTTTCGCGTTCAAAGTAACCAAAAATTTTTTCTCTAACCGGAAATAAGCAAACTTAAGTCAAGCATAATCATACCACATTAAACTAACCTTATAACTCACAAAACTAACATAAAACTCGCGCACCCTTATTACAATCTTATCTCCTCAAGAACCACAAATTTACATCCATAAATCCAAGCTTAAAGTTGGCTAGAAATTAATGGAGGAGAGTTTAAGAACTTACCCTTGAAGAATTCCCTCTTTCTCTTGAAAAACCTTTGAACTCCTCTAAGATTGTTAATGGCTTGAAACTATAAGAGTATAAGGAAATTTGAGAAGCTCAAACTTTACTAGAACATAAAAAGAGAGGGTTTAGAGTTTCCTTACCCTTGGAGGAATGCTTGACTAGTCTTCTCCTAGACGCTTTGATCTCTTTCTTCTTCTTCTATGGTTTGCTAGTGGCTCAAGATTGGGAGAGTGGAAGAAAATATTTGAGAGGAAATGCCAAAATGGTGTAGGGTGGCCGGATTTTTGAGTGGCGAAAAAGCTAGGAGAAAAAAAATGGAGCTTATCCTATGTTGGTTCCTTTTATAGGCAACTTGGAAATTATTTTTTTAACACCAATTCCACTCCATCATTCAACCAAATTTTTGGTCCAAATCCCCCTTTCTTGGCCGGTTTTGGAAGGAGAAAAGAAGAAGCAAGTTTGCCATTAATTCTCCTTCAACCACTACCATCACATCACACCTTAACTTGTAACCTTCTAGCACACTCAACTAGCCAAATTTTGGCTCTATTTTCCTATGCATGCTAAGTGAAGTGGAGAAGGAGAGAGAGAAAAATATAACCCACCCCTTGTACTTTTGTCCATTCTCTTAAGTTTCCTTTGAGTCAAATAAAAATCATACTGACTGTAAGGAAGTACTTAGCTGACATAAAATTCTAGTTTCTGACGGTTCTTTTTCTACTGCTTATTTACAGTTTAATGTTACATCCTTGACTACTATGAGATCACATTAAACTCTTACTCGCGTAATATCTTGAACTGTTTAAAGTCTTGAAATAAATTCTAGACTGAACACATTCTAAATTTAACTTTTCTGCATTAAATCCCGGGAATGACGCTGTTTTTGACGTTGTCAACTCCCGAGCTCACATTGTACCCTTCTACTATGGGTATTTATCTTGTGACTTTAACCTAGCTGTCTGGCAATTAAGGATTTTCTCTTCTTTAAAAATGTCAGTGCGTGTTTTTTTCACGCTGCCAACATCGTGCTGTGCTTGGAGATTCTTGAAATTAAGATTCTCTAACTATACTTGTACTGAAAATTATTCCGACTTAAAGTATGGTGAGAATTTATCGATCGAATTTACTTGATCGAGACATGAACTTAACATGAAATCTGTTACAGAATTTAGGAATATAGATATTAATTCCTTAAATCCTTCATTCACAATATAACATAATATTTTCTAGGAAAATCCTTGGCTTAAATAAATAAATTATATTATTTAAAGTATAGGATTTTCTCAGTCATTACAATTATAAATTCGTTATATTTTTTTAAATTTTTTATAAATCATGCTCGGGTTAGGCCGATTCGGCCCGGCCCAAAATTGCCCGGCCCTTGGCCCGTCAGGCCTTAGGGCCGGGCTGAGCCTATATAAAATTATTCAGGGCAGGACCAGGCCGGCCCGAACTACCCTTTCGGGCCGTCGGGCCTGGGGCGGCCCGAATTTTCAGCTCTATTCCTTTAGTATTACCTTTCCCTTTTTTTTTTTTTTTTTTTTTTAATGAATTTTTAAACTCTCTTTTGTTTTTCCTTTCCCTTTTTTTTTTTTTTTTTTTTTCTAATGAATTGTTAAACTCTTTCTTTATTGTGTATGTATCATTTTGCTTGGTTCGGTGGTTCAAGCAAATTCTATGGTACTGACTTCTTTTATATGTTGAATGATGCAATAAAGAAATGCTGGGATTCTAATTTTGTTCTTGTATACATTATCAAACTTGTGAGACGCGCGCAATAGTGAATTTTCTGGGGCTTTTTGTTTTGTTTTGTTTTGTTTTTTTTTTTTTGAGATAAAGTAGCATATGTGCAGATATCTAATCCTATGGCTAATGTCATATTTAGCTAGGCTTTGTTAGAAAATCCATGAATGTAATGTGTGGAAAAAAAAAAATGAAAGATTGAAAAAATTCAAAAGGAGATTACCAAATCCAGAGAAATAGTGTTTAGTGTTGAAAGCTTGAAACGAGTTGCAAATTACGCTTCCACGAGAAAGTAGTTATTTGTCGTACTTTTAAATTTTTGTCATTTTCCGTATGTATTAGTACTACCATCAGATTCCTAGTGAAGCCGTAGAATGTGTACTCCTCCACCAGCAAGATATAAATTAATAATAATAATAAAAGGGACGTGTACTCGTGTTTATACGATGTTGTCGTTTTTTGTTAATATTATTTTTTTATTAGTACGTAGTTGTCGTTTTTGTTTTTGGGTAGAGATAACAAAGGGAGGAGAGAGTGGTAACGTGGCTATACTTAAAACTGCAGAAACTCCGTTGGCATTTAAGCAGCAACCCAAAATGCAAAAGTAATGAAAAAAGTTGTTTATTCAATGAGCTCATCAACAATCTCCAGTAATTATTAAATTCTTGGTGTTTCGATATGGCATCAATTACGTGCAATATTATCCCAAATACTAGATATCAAATTTACGGCCAATTATCACCTCTTTATCACAACCCCAAGTCATCATTCATTAATAATATTGATGGAAGGAAAACCGTCTTGGCGCGATATTCAAACGTTCAAGAGCCTTCTTCAACTGGCGCTGTTGGACTGGCTGTCAAACAAAACGACTCTTTCCCAGGTCAGGTTAATTAATTAGTTTCTCTTTCTTAATTAGGATGTTATTCCAGCTTCACTATTATTTCTGTTTAAAAGGAATTAGTCTTACAAAATTTAAAAATAGCCTTAGTTGTAATGTGTCTTGTATAGCTGTTTCTGTAAATAATAACTACATTTTTTTTTTCTTTGAATAATTTGATGATGTATAATCCCACTTATGAAGCAAAAATTGCACTCTCAATTGTCCATGTCTCTTGTTCCCAAAGTTCTCTTTTTGAACAATGGAGTCTTTTTTTTTTTTTTTCTCCTTTGGTAGCTTTTGATTGTCCTTAATTGCTTTTTGATCCATGTGTTTTCTTTTTTATTTATTCACTTTCTTTTTCTCCATTTGTTCATGGTTGAAATGTTTGCCAATGGCCCATATATATCCAATTATGAACTTGAAAAGGAAAAAAAAAAGTGTGCAGGGAAGGCAGAGGCTGATGTGGTAGTGATTGGGAGCGGAATTGGGGGACTATGCTGTGCTGGACTTCTAGCAAGGTACCAACAAGATGTTATTGTTTTAGAAAGCCATGACATACCAGGAGGAGCTGCACACTCTTTCGAGATTAAAGGCTACAAATTCGACTCCGGTCCCTCTTTGTTCTCTGGCTTTCAATCAAGGGGTCTTCAAGCCAATCCTCTTGCCCAAGTAACTTATTTAACTTGTTCCTTTTCTTGCCAATATTTCATTCATTGGTATTAAATCTAAATAATTTGGAGTAAAACATTTTCAGGTTCTAGATGCGCTTGGTGAGAGAATTCCTTGTGCCACTTATGATTCATGGATGGTCTACGTTCCAGAAGGCGAGTTCTTGTCGCGCATTGGCCCCACGGAGTTCTTCAAGGTGGAAAATTCTGGTCTCCCTACGCATGTCAAATTGTTTAACCCATTCTTATCATTTTTTTTTCTCAAGGAGCTTTTTTGTAGATTGCACAATGCGTGTTGCTAGATTTAAAAAAAAAAAATGAAATTTTCAGTTGGATTTTTTATTTCCGCTCTTTCAGGACCTTGAGAAACATGCAAGTCCAAATGCTGTTCTAGAATGGCAAAAGCTGCTGGTGAGTATCGTTACCTAACCAATCTTTCTGTCAATGCTTAATGTATAAGGATTTTTTTTTTCTTTTTCTTGTATCAAAATATTTCCTAACAAGGTTCATCTCCTATTTTACTGTTTATCCCTTGAAGTTGTGATTAGATGAATTAGCTCTTAGATTCTAAAATAGGAGAGAAATAAAGAACTGTCTTTGACATTCATGAGTTGGAAAGTCCTGATTAGCAGATGCAGATTGGTTAATCTCTTGGAATTTTTGCATCAGTATAATTATTCTAAATTAAAATGTATAGACTTTTTCATATAGTCCTCCTTACATGTTGCTTCACTATGCCTCATGTGCAAGATGCAACTCTTCAACAGGATGCAGTTCTTCCACTGTCAGCGGCTGCGATGGCTCTGCCTCCTCTGGCCATTAGAGGTGACTTAGGAGTCCTTTCAACTGCTGCAGTCAGATACACCCCCTCACTCCTTAAATCTTTCCTCCAAATGGGACCCCAGGTATGAGCGGATCTACTTATATTTCGGTGGGGGCACATATTTTTATGTAGATTCTAGTCAACCAACAAGAAAAATTAATATTTTGATCCCACTTAATAATAGAAAATTATAACTATGCTCCTATTTAGTAATAATCTTATGTTTTCTTTATTGTGTCGCTTGTAAAAGATTTTATGGCTACACTATTGTTTCCAGGGAGCTCTTGGCGCGACAAAGCTGCTACGACCGTTCTCAGAAATTGTCAACTCGTTGGGATTGAAAGACCCCTTTATAAGGAATTGGGTGGACTTGTTGTCCTTCTTGCTTGCTGGGGTGAAATCTAATGGTATACTCTCAGCAGAGATGGTAACTATTGTGGATTTAAGTTCTAAAAATGTTCTTCAAACTTTTGTGTTTGTATTTGGCAAGTGTGTTGAATTATAGAACCTATCACATTCACCTTTTTTTTTTAAATTTATTTTCTATTCCAAGTACTACATGGGTTAATCAGGGCTTTTAAGCCCCAAATCAGTTGCTCTCTATTTGATGCACATTTTTAAATACTTTTTGACTTTTATTATCTGCTTCTTCATTAAATAAATCTAGCAACTTGGGGTCATTGACAATGAGAATTTAAAGTGTATTTGCCTTAAAACTTGTTCGATCTTAAAGTGTATATGCCTTAATGTTAAAGTTTTAGTACAAAAATGGAAAAAGGAAATAGTTGCAGTTCTTCTGTGAACATTATTTGGTGTTAGTAGTTGTTGTGGTTGTCATCTATCTTTTTTTTGTTTTTTTTTTGTTTTTGTTTTTTGTTTAAACGTTTCCCTCTTTCAACTGCATATTTCAATTGTGAAGTATTGTCACCGATGAAAATTCGGATAACAAACACTACACTGTTTGTTCTTCCTTTCTTTTCAGATTTACATGTTTGCAGAGTGGTACAAGCCAGGTTGCTGCCTTGAGTACCCTCTCCATGGAAGTGCGGCTGTTGTTGATGCTCTTGTAAGGGGATTGCAGAAGTTTGGGGGACAACTTTCTCTGCGAAGCCATGTAGATAAAGTCGTCGTTGAAAATGGCCGAGCAACTGGGGTCAAGCTAAGAAGCGGTCAAGTAAGTAATGTTGATTCTACTCTCACAGACCATTCCTTTTTATTCTAACATTTGGAGAAACAAATATTCTGCAGTTCATACGTGCTAAAAAGGCTGTTGTCAGTAATGCATCCATGTGGGACACTCTAAAACTATTGCCTAGAGATGTTCTTCCTAAGTCATACGTAGATGGCGTGAACGCGACCCCACAATGTGACTCATTCATGCATCTCCATTTGGGCTTTGATTCAGAGGTGAGTAATCAAAGAAACTGAACTTTGAGTGATGTGACCATTAGAGTATATGCCACTCAAAGAAATTGTGTTTGAAATATGAAATATCAAGCAGGGAATAAGAGATGACTTGGGGATTCATCATATTGTTGTAAATGATTGGAATAGAGGAGTAGATGCTGATCAGAATGTCGTACTGATATCTGTACCTAGCGTACTGAGTCCTGACCTTGCGCCACCTGGGAAACATGTGCTGCACGCTTATCTGCCAGGAACTGAGCCTTATGAACTTTGGAAAGGACTTGATCGGCGCAGTGCTGAATACAAAAATCTTAAATCCAAAAGATCGGAGGTATGCAGATATGTTTAACGACATTTTTTTCGTGTCAATTTCATTTGTTGTCACTGATGGAACCATTATAAACATTGTGCACAAACACAATTTAAGTTATCGTAAGAAGCTAGAATTTTAATTAACTTCTACTTTTACTTAGCAAAAGTAGTACTGTCTTTCAAAAGCACAACAATCTTATAAAAAGACCTTAGACACCACAAATATGGTGTTTAAAATAAGATTGAAAATTAACTTTATTGTTTAAACCTTGATACTACTGCTTGAATTAGACATATTCCATCAAACTTTTATCTAGTCTACTTTTTCTCAAGCATTTTGGTTTATTCATTTGCTAAGTTAGGTTATGTGGCGGGCAGCGGAACGTGCACTTGGTCCAGGGTTTAGCCGTGAAAAGTGCGAGGTCAAGCTGGTTGGATCTCCATTGACACATGAAAGGTTTCTTAGAAGACACAGAGGAACATATGGGCCAGCCATTGAAGCTGGTAAAGGCTCCTTTCCTGGACATTCAACTCCCATCCCACAACTTTACTGTTGTGGGGATTCTACTTTTCCTGGCATTGGAGTCCCTGCAGTTGCTGCTAGTGGCGCCATTGTTGCCAATTCACTCGTTTCCGTGTCTCAACACTCCCAACTTCTCGATGCCATTGGAATCTGAAGTGCACGTTATAATCTTTTGTTTTTTGAATTTGAAGACAGAGAAATTTGAATTCTGGACCCCAACGTAAGAGATAGGTGCATAATTATCACTAAGCTTGAAATTATTCAATCTTTCCATTCCATTTTCTATTCAACTGTGAAATTGTATTCGGTACATTTGTTCAAATGGAAATCATAAGGATGCTCTGTCCAACAATCTAGCATCATTTTTCAGCATAGTAAGATCTCATATAGGCCTGCTTTAACATTTTTATTACTTCTTTACTTCTTTTCTATTTTAGTTGGTTTAGTCCACTATTTTTATATGTTTAGTGTTTGTATTGGCACCGACCTAGTATTAGGCTTTGCAATTTTTATAAAACCGAAAGGCTGGAAAGGAATAGTAGTAAAGATTTAAGGGCATGCATGCACATATAGGCTGAGGTTTAGGACCACCAAATGGCAATGGCATGGCCCTAATCATCATGATAACCAACAAGCTATTTTGTTCAACATTTTTGGCCTTTGCATGTGACGCGTGCACAATAAAGTTCAACAAACCCAATTGCCCAAAAATGAAGCGGGTCCCATTGTATGATGCTAAAAATCTGGTACTTCTTTTTTTTTTCCCCCCCTTCTTATTTAATGAAATATGAAATGGTCTCCCTAAAAAATCATCGCTATTTCTCATTTCAAGGTCAACATTCAAAACCCAGTTATTGTATTGCATTGCTATCCACGATCATTTGAATATTGATGCGCTTGCCTCCAATGGTACCTTCTTTTTTCTTTTTTTCTTTTAGAATGAATCCAACTGTCCAATGGTTCTTTTTCATCTGAACTTCCTCACCAAAATGAATTGAATTTATATATGAATGACGAAATATTGAAGTTTGTTGGGATAAGTATTTGGATATTTGGCTATTTGGCCCAATAGAGATGACATTAAGTGATTAAATGCTATGTTTAGTAGGAGGAAGGAGAGAAAATAGAATATAAAGGAAATTTGGAGCTGATGAAAAGAAAATTGTTTTTTTCTTATTTGGTATAAGAAGAAGGAAAAAAATTGTATTTACCTTCACTTATTTGGTGTCATGAGTTGAATTGGGTATTACAGGAAGGAAAGATAAATTTTTATTGGTAAATTACTATTTTACTCATGAATAGTATTTACAAAAAAGTTTTCCATATAAGAAACATTACAACATGCACAATAACCAAATAAAAGACATATATGCTTAAGTAGTCAGTAAAGGTGTATGGGGAATAGTACTTTTCTAAGGGAAAATAATAAATAAAGTGAAAAAAAAAATTATAAACCAATCTTTTAAAAATATATATGTGTGTAAATTAAAATAAAGTCAATGGGCAAAATTGTAATTCAAGACAAAGTAGATGAACAGTCCATTTTCCACTCTATAATCCGGCCTAGTTGGAAATGAACTAAAAATCCATCCTACTTTTCCTTCAACCCTACCAAACAACCAGGAATTTTCCCTTCCATGGCCCCACAAGATGTATGTGCATCATATTGGACTGATCCTGATGACGTGGCAGAAGGCCAGTCAATTTTAGTGGGTCCCATGTGATACCACTTGCCAGTGGATATCAACGCCTACGTTTGCATGTTGGAAGGATTATAATTATTAATTTTTATGAGGATGCTTGTGGTTGTGGTTTTAAGTTTTAACAACCGTTTACGCTCGGATGAGGACAAGTGGCGTTCTCTTATTCGATACACAATAAACCGTCATCATCCTCATGCAAAGAGGTGGTAGCTATCCTTCTCTTTCATAAATTCTTTTTCTTTTTTCTTTTTTTAAAAAACTGATAAAAGCATTACACCCCCTTTTAAGAAGGGCAACATTATCTACTGAATACTGATTTCATTATTTAAAAATATTATAAAGAGCCTTATCTTTTGATTTTTTTGTGTTTCCTAAAATACCCCACTTAAGACTAGTTCGATTTTCCAACGCGTCTCGATTGTTTTGGTATTGATACATAATTTATACGTGGTACATAATGTAGGGATATTATGACATATTTATTATGTTTAAAGTTAATTTGACTTTAAGGAGACGTTTGCTTCATGGATTAGAACCATGTGATTAGAATTATTTTTTATTTACGTGTATTTTTTATGAAAAAAAATATTATAGCGAACCACGAACCATAATTCGAATCAAAAAACGAATCTAGGTACCAAACATCCCTTAAAAGTTGATGTAATTCAAAAACTATATTTTTTTGAATAAATTAAAAATTATAATTGTTAAAGGAAAGAAATTAAACAACATTAGAAAATTTTAAAAAATAATAATTTATTATTATTTTTTTGATACGCATGAGAACAAACAGACTAATTTATTCTTATTTTTATGTGTCACGTATTATTTTTGTTATACTGAAAGGAAGATTTCGTTTTAGTAAAAAAAAAAAAAAAATCGACTGACACATTTTTATTAGGACTATAACTCAAAGGTATCTTTATAATTAATCTTTAATAAGATAAAAGAAAATACATAACAAAGAAGAAAAATACTCCGACCACTGATGCTAATAAGTCACTAGTAACGGTCTCTCAAGGTTGAATGGAAGGTCATTAGGGGGAAAAAGGAAAAAAAAAAACGACGACGACATTCTGAAATCGGCGCATGAAGAAAATATAAATATAAATATAAATAAAGTTATAAAAGTAGCCTAAAGTATCTGGTGCTGAGCAGAGAGAAGAGAGAGAGTAATAAAGATGAAAAGAAAGTTAAAGATTTTTTTATTTAAATTTTTAATTTAAATTAAAATGTATTTTTATGTGAGAATTTTTTATTATAAAAAAATTAAATATAATTTTTATAAAATTTTTTAATTATAATAAAAATTAAAATTAATAATTAAAATTAATAAAATGAACGTTGAAAAAAAAAGCACTAGACTGTTTAATTCCATCTAAACAAAATTATCAGTTCCCATACCACAAACTGAAACTGCTATTTAGATTTGCTCTCTCTCCCTCTCTTTCCTTTTTATTTATTTATGGTTTTGTTTGCTCAAACAAAATAGATAAAAAATAGTACTAATAACAATAAGAAAAACAAAATATCAGTAGCTAGTAGTTATTAGTTTCACTTCACGATTTTCGATCAATCAATCGTTGTTGTTGTTGAAATTCCAAGCTTTGCTAAAATGCGCCGGCTCCTCTTCCAAGCCTCTCACGAGTACTTTCAGGTTCCAAGAATTTCCCCACGATCTGTTTCTGTCTTTGATTCGAAAGAATTTTAATCGTTCGTTTCATGCTTTTTTTGTCAAATTATTTCCGTCCTTTTCTTTTTCCGGTGATTAGATTTTCTTTTTCTTTTATGTGATGATTATTGATTTTTGAAAATGATCGAGGGTGGAAAAAAAAAACGATAATTTCCCAGCAATTCAAGAGTAGATCTGAGCAAATTTTGATTTTTCTAATGGTGTGAGATTTTTGTAATTTCTGCGAAGTTGTTCGGAGAGATTCTCTTTCCGAAACTTGTGTATTAGAGAGAGAGAGAGAGGAAATTTATGTGAATTTTCAGACGATGGGTTTGTAGAACTTCCATTATTTCAGTTTTTAGAGTTGTTGTTGTAGTGGGAATCCATTTAATTTCAGTTATAGGTTGTAGATTCTGCCGGAATTTACCACAGAGAGAGAGAGAGAGAGAGAGAGGAAACTTGGTGTGTAAACTTCCATTCCTTTAATTTCCAGAAAATTTAGAGTTTTTGACTTCTGTTGTGGTAGGACCCTATTTAATTTTCAGTTCTAGGTTGCTGATTTAGCTTATTAATTTCCCCTTTAAAAGCTTTTGTATCCTCTATTTTCCTTTACGTTAATCACTCTTCAATGTACTAGATACAAGTATCTTTATAGTTATTTCAGATTTTTGTTGTCGCTAGTTTTTTTTTTTGCCCCCTCAAGAATTATATGTATAAAACTTCCTACTTTGCTTTTCATTCATACAATGACTGGATAAACTACCTTCCATGTATTCTTCTTTTCCCGTTTCTTTAGTTTTTCTGTAATAGCCTATGGAGAGATGGGTGTCGGAAGAAACCCGACAACAAATTATGCATGTGATTATGAATCTACATCTGTTGTCTAATTGCTTTATCTGGCTTACACATGTTGTCTTACCATTTTCTCTTACTTCTATTTTCTATATGTGATCCATGTATATTTTACATTTTGATTTCTGTTTCTGATGTTAGAATTTTTATTAATTCTCATTAGGAAGATAGGTGCTTGGATGGAATGCGCAACCAAAGTACGAAACATTACAAGGTTAGCGAATACTAGCATCTGCAATATACACTTAACGCACCTATGGCGTCTGCTAGCCTAGGAAATGGGGGAGTGGGCAGTTCCAGGTCCATTAATGGTTTCAAGAGTTCATCTAGTTCAGTTGACTGGTTGGGGAGGGAAATGCTGGAGATGAGATTGCGGGACAACTCTGATCATGACGAGGACAGAGTAAGAAATCTGCATGCTTTAGTTTTTACCACTTTGCCTTTTGCCTCATAAAACTTTTTCTGTTTCCTCTCAGTTGTTGCAAGTTGCGTTTATATCATGTGATGAGCAATCCATTAGCTAAGCTCTACAACGTTTTGATCTCTTCTAGGGAACTTTCCCTGATTGTGAAATGATAGTCTGTGTTGGTTGTTTATGCCCCTTGCTATTTTATATACTGTAGGATAGCGAACAGGATATTATTGATGGTGTGGGTGCCGAAACAGGGCGTGTAATAAGAACAACTGTAGGTGGTCGAAATGGGCAATCGAGACAGGTTGGTAGAGATCTATGTGGCGTAATCAAATCTGATGAGATTATGTGATTTTAGTTGGTTCGGTACTTATTCTATACATCACATCTTTTGGGTTCCAGACGATCAGCTATATTGCAGAACATGTGGTTGGAACTGGTTCCTTCGGTGTTGTTTTCCAAGTAGGTAGAACCGTATTTAATAGTTTGATTTTTGAGTCTATGTCAACTTTATTTGCCCAAAAATTTTATGTTGCGTGATGTATACTTCTTTCCCAGGCAAAATGTAGAGAAACTGGGGAGATTGTTGCCATCAAGAAGGTCCTCCAAGACAAGCGCTACAAAAACAGGGAATTGCAGATTATGCAGATGTTGGATCATCCAAATATCGTTGCATTAAAGCACTGCTTTTTCTCAACAACGGATAAAGAAGAGCTTTACCTGAACCTTGTCCTTGAATATGTTCCTGAAACTGTTCACAAGGTTGCAAGAAACTATAGCAGGATAAACCAACGGATGCCCCTGATATACGTTAAACTTTACACCTATCAGGTACAAAATAACCTCTCTCTCTCTCTCTCTCTCTCCTGTGTCTTTTCTCTGTGTGATTGATCATATGTATATTAGAACTCCTTTTTACTTGACCCTTGGGCCTTGTAGTTATGAAATTATATCAGATGTTGCCACTGTGAAAACTTGAGTTGATTAAGATTATTTTGAAGAATAAAATGTGATCTCTGATTATAGTATTCTTTTATCACAAAAATTACTAATCAAATTGTAAGTTTCCAAATGAAATTTAAAAGTTGATATGAAGTATTTCACGAAGGATACGTATTCCATTTTTGTTTCTTTAATTCCTTAGTTGATAGCCATGGCATTCAAAGTTCAATCCATTTACCTTTTCTTTATCAATTCCTTTTTTCGGGTGCAGATATGCAGGGCACTTGCTTATATCCATAATTGCATTGGAATTTGTCACCGGGATATCAAGCCTCACAACTTACTTGTAAGTTTCTTTTCCCGGAGCATAAGACTCGTTTGATTAGAGTCATCCTATATACAGCTATATGTCTTTAATGCTTGTGTACACAAGGAAAATGACTGCAAGAGGGGAAATTGACCGCATTAGTGTTAAAACTATCCACAATAGAATTATTATATTCACAAAATTCGGGATAAGCAACATAAAATTTTGATGTGAGAATACACTTGGGATGTATCTTTCATGGTGAGTTTACTTTTTACTTTTAATATGTCTGTAAAATTCTTGAAAATAACAATGTGCACAATTTTTTGAGGCATATGCCTCTGCTGAATGCATCTACAATTTCTATAGGCATAGATGAATTAGAGCCTTGTTGATTTAATCTAGTCCAATATGAAGAGATGGACTAGTGAATTTTCTAGTTTTCCTATAGAAAGTCTTTTTGTGGTCAACTTGGGTTAGTGGAAGGTGGTTAAGCTAATGTTATCCCAATAGAAAGAGAAACTCTTTGCAAAATCAAATCAAATTGTACACGACAGTCATGTTTTGTTCTTCTAGATATCTGCTTTATTATCAATTTTTTTCCTTCCATGTGTCAATTTCTAATAGTAGATGTCAATGTCCAGGTAAATCCCCACACTCATCAGTTGAAACTTTGTGATTTTGGAAGTGCCAAAGTGTTGGTGAGTATATATGTTATGCAACTAGCATATTGAAGAGTTCATCTAGCCTTTTTTCTCCAGTTGGATCCTATTTCTTTAACTGGGGAAATAAAAACAAAGAAAAGATTTTTAGTCCCTTTTCCATGTTATCAGGTAAAAGGGGAACCAAATGTTTCTTACATCTGCTCAAGGTATTACCGAGCTCCAGAGCTTATATTTGGTGCTACAGAATATACGACGGCTATAGATATTTGGTCGACAGGTTGTGTAATGGCTGAACTACTACTTGGACAGGTGGCTTCATACTCAAATTACTTCTCATGATGTCTTTCTGTCTTCGATTATTAACACTTTCATTCAAACTTGTCTTCCAGCCTTTGTTTCCTGGTGACAGTGGAGTTGATCAACTAGTTGAGATCATTAAGGTGGGGCATCAATCTGTTTATATGTCTTTTATGAAATTGTTTTTTCCATGCGTAATTGCTTATCTATAGTTCTGGTTAGATTAGGATAAAAGGTTTATCTATGCCTGGGTTGAATCTGGTCGTACCTTTGACCTTGCTTACTGGTAGCTAGAACTTCTTTTGATTAAATTTGGCAAGTGTTTTCCTTTTTTTGGGGGCTTACATTTGTTTCCATATTGGGTTATGTTGAAGGTTTTGGGAACGCCAACAAGAGAAGAGATAAAGTGCATGAATCCAAACTATACCGAATTTAAGTTCCCACAGATAAAACCCCATCCATGGCATAAGGTATGCGCCCCACTCTCTCTCTCTCTCTCTCTCTCTCTCTCTCTCTCTCTCTCTCTCGTCCATTGACAAGGCATGTCCTTTCTTTTCCTCATTAAACATTATGTATATGGCTTAGATCAGCCTACAACCGTTCCTAGCCAATATCGGCTCTGTTGGTTTAATTCTCTGGTTACTTATGATTCAATAGGTCTTCCAAAAACGTCTACCCCCAGAAGCAGTCGATCTCGTATGTCGGTTTTTCCAGTATTCCCCTAATTTGCGCTGTACTGCTGTAAGTGTGACTTCAATTACTCTGGTTGCTCTAATGGAAATATTGTATGATAGCTCACGTTTTCTCCTCCCATTTGTCTCTCGGATAATTCAGTTGGAAGCTTGCATTCATCCGTTCTTTGATGAATTAAGGGACCCTAATACTCGCCTTCCTAATGGCCGCCCTCTTCCTCCATTGTTCAATTTCAAATCTCAGGGTAAGTCCGTTTTTTATATTAGTAATTTTTTATTGTTGTCTTGCTCGTTCTTTTGGACAATGATGACTCTACCCCTCCATGTTTCTATCATCCATAGAGCATCAAAGAGAAAAGAATAGCCTTCAATTAAGAAACACAATAGAAAGGGTACGAGAGTGATGTGGAGATCTTTTGCACTCACTGCGTGTAGTCAGTTCCCATTAGGTGTTGGGCAATACTTTATACAATGATGAATATACATGTTTATTATAAATATAGTATTTGAGATTTTAGCAAATAGAAACCATAGCATTGATTAAAAGCAGGCCATTTTTTTTTCTGATGTCGTAAAAGCAAGCTTTTACATAATACTTGTTTTCCTCAAATTAGGACTTCGACATATTTCAGATTTGTAGAGAGATTGAAATGAGAGAAAAGATATACAAACCTAACTTTTTAAAACTAGTAACAAGATTGTGTTTGTGTAGCGTATCTTTTAGTCACTTGTATTTGATTTTACTTTTGTTCTCATGCTTCTTAATGTTATTTTCTATTCTTAATAGAGCTATCAGGCATTCCACCGGACGTCGTAAATCGGCTAATTCCAGAGCATGCTCGCAAACAGAACTTGTTCATGGCTTTGCATACCTAGCCTTTGCAAATTCCTGTGATCTTTCTTGGTTCTGAATCTGGTATTGCACCAGTAGCTGTAGAATCTTCTCCCTTCTCATTTGTGCAATGTGAGAAGAGAAGTATAAAGTCTCGTGTATGTTTACGTTACACAGTATAAACTCTAAACCTAAATCCTAAAACTTGGTGAAGACAAGACATGAAAATATGCTGCAACCCTTACTCATAGTGCTAGTTGTGAACTTATACGTGAAATTTTATTTTTAAAATGTATTTGTACATATTACTGGTAAATTGCCATCAACTCATCAAGAGTTGAAATCCGGTTGATGCAGCACTTTGTGACAGTGAATTAGAGGAATAGCGCTTTTAGATAGATAGCATTCATCCATACCATTTTTGTGGAAGGTTTAAGCTTAATTTACACACAAAAGTGGTATGGATGAATGATTAAACTTTAAAATTGGTATTTAGCCTAATTGACTCCACCGTTTCGGTTGTCATATTCTGAAGGAAACGTTGCATTTTGTCTATGGATGTTGCTATGTTGTTTGCTCTATATTGCTGTCGTCCCCGGTTTTTTTAGTGTCAAACTGTTGTTTTGTTTTCTTAAAGTGCCTGGTCTTGGCAGGTTTTACTTTTCCCAGAACGTTTCAATCAATATTCTTCATGTAATTTCCAGATTTCTCCCTAATATCCAAATCCTTTCTTGATTTATCTTGCTTCTACGTCAAAGATTTCGGGCTTGCTTGGCATTTCTTTTAGGGCTTTAAAAGGGAATTGTTACGGGTTTTAAGTTTGGATTGACATATGTCAAGCATATAAACTCTTAAAAAGAATATGAGAATCACGTCATCACACTATATATAGAATACTAAATATACTTTTAAGATACCGGTAAGTCTCCGATTACGATACCAGTATCCAACTAAGATACCTGTTGGTATCCAACTGAGATACCTGAAGGTATTCGGCGGACAACTGTTAGTTTGGCGGCAGTAGTCACACAGTTACCAACCATTGACACCAACTGTGTCACTAGTATTTAGTTAAGATACCAGTTAGTATCTGTCAAGATACCAATTAGTATCTGTCAAGATACTAGTTACCGTTTGTTAACTACTAAGTCACCGACAGGTAACCACTAAAATTGTTCGGAAACCACTATTATTGGCGGCCATCAACCGCAGAACACAATAACAACAATCAGAGGAAAAACAACAAAAATCTAAAAGGTCCATAATCATAACAACAACGATCAGAAGAAAAAACAACAAAAATCACAACTACAATCAGGAAAAAAAAAAAAATTCAGACCGTCAATCTCCCCGAGCGACGAAGATCTTTCTGACACCGAGGATTGTTAGTCTCCTTCACGCAGCCAACATGCGAAGATCTCTGGATCTTTGTCATCGTGACTGTGGAGATCTTCATATCTCCACCGTGATCCTAATCTATTTAAGGAGGGAAATGAGGGAAGAAACAAACCCTAATCTATTTAAGGCTATTTCAATCATTTTGTTATAATTCTTGCTAATAAATGTCGATCCAAATAGAAAATTTGTGTTATTGTGGAATTTGAGAAGATGTTCGTGGCATTTCTGGTAATCTCTAGAAGCTTGAGGAACTTGATCACATGTGAAATATTCTTAACATTAGATGTTTAGATGTGCGAAGATTATTATACAATGAGATCTCCCTCATAGTTGGGAATAATCTTCTTCTCCCTCACTGTCACCCATTCGACATGCATCATGCCCAGCCACGCCTCTTCTTGTTAGTAGCCGAATACTTTTGTTATCCTAGCGGGCTACCTTCACGATCGCAACATTTTACCTTCCTAACGAGGATTTTTTTTTTTTACTATTTAAAGATTATACGAGGTTTTTCAGTTGCACTAAGACTCATTCCAAAGGAAAAGTGTAAACACTGGGGGTTATTCTTTTACATTTTTAAGTTAGGGTGACTTGAATGGTGATTTTAAGTTGAGTTTGAGTTATACCTTGAGTTGAAGTTGTAGTTTGAGTTTGTGTTTAGATGTGCACATTTGAGTTATAATTTGAATTGAAAATCTTTTTGAGTTTGTGTTTGGATAGATCAAAACTTAAATTTGTATTTAGATAGTATTTTAATAAAAACTCATTAGTGATGAAAATTTTAATAGAGTATATGAGTGAGGTTTTATTCGTCTTTTTGTTGTGAATGTATAAAATCATTTCAATTAGAATTAAAACGAAAAAATTATAGCATTTTTAAAAATAAAAAAAATGTTATTCATTAATTTAAATTCGAGTTTATGAACTCAAATTAAAAGGAAAATTTAAACTCAAATTTAACCCCAAATTCAAATCCAAACTCAAATTTTATAAAGGAATAAGCACAACTTAAATTTGTTTTGAGTTTCCTTACAAAATAACAACTCTTGGAATTATTAGGGAACGACGGAGAAAATTTCTCCAGAACTAACCCAAAAACTAAGCACGTGTCACCATCACGCTCACAAGTCCTGTTTCTTTCTTCCTTTTGTGGGAAATCTTTTTGCCAAGAATTTTTTTTTTCTCGTTTTTCTTGTCCTCAATTTGTTCAGTCAACACGTCACCACTTTGTAGTAGCATAACACAAATAAATATTATTTTTTTAGAATGTTCTTATATTATTTTTTTCCCTTCTAATCTTGACCATGATCTTGGTTAATTTCTTTCTAGTTCAAATTTTTCGAGATTTATATGATCTTTAGACGTGGAAAAAGAATTTTCTTTTTCCCTTGATCATTTATATTCAAGACCTTGACGAAGATGTGAATTAATTGCATTAGTATATACCGTATTGTACGAAATATAAATTTTTTGGCTTGTGTCTTACTGTTTGGTTGCAGGGAAACTGGAGAGAAAGATGTAACGTTCAACGTTTTGTATTGTGGGATTTGTCACGCGGACGGACCTTCACATGGTTAAGAATGAATGGGGCACTTCTACCTATCCTCTCGTCTCTGGGCATGTGATATCTTTTTCTTTATTAATTAATAACAAGAAGATCGATCAATATTCATTTATTTTTGTAATTATTTAACTTAAAAAAGCTGCAGAAATTAAATTTAATTGTTAATTACCTAAAGATGTTTTGCGCTGGGACCACAGTTTATAGTCCTTTGTAAGTATTACGGCCTAGACAAGCTTGGCCAAGTGATGGTGGAAGACGTAATGAGAGTGCTTTACGTAATATAAACAGAATCTGACATATCTTTCTTTATTGTTAACCAATTAGATCAGATCTTTTAGGAGAGGAAAATCATAGCTAGCAAGCACATTAGCGTGATTTATGCTTAATTATTGTTTTTTAATTATTTATGCGGAATTATTATGATTATTATAAGTTTTCATCAAGCTAAAAGAATTATTGCTATTATAATATGCTAATACTCTTATCATAAAACATTGCTTGGTATTTCCAATATTACTTTTAACTAACTTTTCATCTATTACAGTTTGGTAGTTTTCAATTTCCTACATAGATACAAGTTACTTATACCGAAAATAAATAATGGTTTCATCTACTTACATAAATGATTCACAAAAGTAAGTTTCTTTTTAATTACCAAAATAGAAACAAGAAATATTTAGCAACCATGCTATTCCTTCCGACTTTTGTTTTCTACTGTCTAAATACTCAAATTTGTTTCATCTCCCACAAATTTCACCATAGACATTAGAAATTGTACTCGAAAATAACATCATTAAAGGTGAGAGCAACTTATAAAGGCAAATAAAAAGTACACTAGACAGAAAAATAATAAACACAGAAACAAACACGATGCAGAACATAAAACACATTGAACCTAAATTAAACACAGAAAACAAAAAATAAAATAAAAACATATTAGATTAAAAAAACCCAAAGCAATAAAACACAACAACGTCTTCTACTCCTCGCCGCTATAGTCGTTGTTGCTAGTGGTGTTATAATCATATATATAGTAGTTGCTGCTGGTGTTATTGTTACCGGTAGTATTGTAGTAGTCATAATAATTATTGTTAGTGTAGCCGCTATTATCACTACTGTTATTGTAGTCGTCAGGGTTCACTTTTCCCTTAGCTTGTTCAATTTTTTATGTAACTTCTTAAGTTGTTTCTTCGTTATATCTTCTTTTTTTTTTCGTTTATGTTCGTCTTTAAGTCTTTTTATCTCCAGGTCAATCTTTCTTGCTCATCAGTTACCTTCAGCAGGATCTGCCTTCTCCTTTAGCTTGTTCAATTTTTTCTATAGCTTTTTAAGTTATTTCTTCGCTATATCTTTCTTTTTTTATTGTCTCATTTCTGTTGGTCTTTAACTCTTTTTATCTCCAACTTCTTCAATCTCTCATCTGGATAGAGGCCTATTCCTCGCCAGGAATGGACAATTCTCTTCTTTTTACGGGGCAATCAATAGAGAGTCAGCTAAATGCATAGGTAAGCCCTTTTGACCCTTTAGGAGGAAAGCGAGTTAGCTGGTACGGGCAGACCCAGAAAGAAGAGAGGAGGGTTCACCACCAGTCAAGAAAGGATCGAAAAAGAAAAAAAAAGAGTCCGAATCCGTTAGGTTAGTTTCTTGATCCCGTACCGTAGGCTTCTTCAGGCGATGACGCAAGATCTAATTGTCCGGTATCACTCTAAAAAAAAAAGCATCGGCAAAGAGTGGAGGCTGGCTGGCAAAAGAAGGACCAACGATGATCAAGAAAGCGAAAGAACCAAGTGGGCTGTGATGATGTCAGAATTTGCACCTATTTGTATCTAGTTAGTGCTCAGTCTGCTAGTTTCTTTGATCTTTCTGTATTTTTTGTTGTCAAATGTGATGCTGTACCTGGTCGTTTAAATCAGATCTCTATTTTGGTACAACGAGGAGTTTACTATAGTCAGTGCAGTGAGATTTGTGAAACTTATCATGCCTTTATGCGTGCGCCCGGAAACATAGGCCAAGTGTTGAGCCCACTCTGGCTCAACCGCACCACCCGGGGTGCGAGCCACCCGAGAAGCAAGCTATTACATCGAGCGGCTGGAGCTGTAGGGAGCCGAGGAGCAAGGTGACACCCTTATCTGTTTACCAGAGTTGTTTGTACATATACATTATTTTCATTTTTTT